TTTGGAAAGGCAGGGAGAGAAGTATGTCTTAACTGATGTATTCCAAGTGCCCAGAACTGCATCATGAGACCATCACAGGTACACAACACTTGTTGAATGAATAAATAAAAGTACTTTAAATTAACTCATTTAAGTTTCACAGCAATCTAGTGAAATAAGTGCTATTATATTGCATATTTTATAGACAAGATAACTGAGGTCTAGAGAAGTTAAATGTTTAGCCACCAAGACTACATGGCTGTTTAGTAACAAATAGAGAATTCAAAAGATGGCCTTTCTGACTCCAGAGCTCGAAAAGTACTTCCTACACTAGTACAGGTCCTCGTGGTCAAATCCACAATGCCCATCTTTGCAGCAGCCTGGGTTCGAGCACCCTCTGACTTTTCTTTCTAATTTCACCAAAGTACATATAGCAAAGTATTAGGTCCTTAGTATAAATAAATTTTCACTGAACCAAGTCAAGGAATTAATTTGTGGAAAGAATCAAGAAGATGGATGCAAAACAGTGTTGGTGAGTTTCCTAATTCTGCTAGTGGAGGAACTAGCAGCAGCTTCCATCCCTGTGCCCACAGGCTCATCATGAACCAGGCAGCTGGCCAGGTGTGGGGGTGCTCACACCCCAGCCTCACAGAGAGCCAGCCTTCAGCTGTAGAAAAGGAGATCAAGATGACCCACCAAATGAGCCAAAACAACTAGTATGGTGTTACAACAGAAAAAAACAGAGAAAGGTTAGTTCTCATATTTCTAAGTGAATATTATGTTCTGTAGACTCCAGTTTAAAATGGAAGTGCTCACAATAATTTGATGGAAAGATGGAGTGGCCCAGGTATCTGAGCCAGGATCTTTCTGGGGATTAAACTGCACAGACAGGAAACACAAAACACATTTAAGGGGGAGGTGCTTTTCACAGTACCCTGAGAACAGACATCTTTTTTCTATTAAAAAGAGAGGAAGTTTTGTTATTTGATGAGAGCTAATTTATAAAAAACAGCTGAAGTATCTGGTATGAAGTAAAGGTACATATTTACTTAAGGCATTTTAAGTTCAGGTGTGTACAAATCACACAATTGCAAAGATTTTATTTCCACACAGAAAATAGTAAGGCCAATTGTCATGTGCAAACATGACACTATGATTTTTTTAAATCCTGTAATGTCTTAATATTCACCAATTTCAGCTTGATGTGAAAAGACATTTCCATTTCTTTAAGGCAAGAAAAGGGGTTTATGCAAACCTCCAAATGCCCTGGCTCATTAGCTTGTTCCTGCCATAAAAAATTTCAAGCTCACCAATCAAGAGCACATGGCTAGAAAGCACTCCCTTGAGCTCTTTTGCTAACCAGACAAAACAAATCATAGCTGGGCGCAAAATTGCTGGTTGACCTCAGAGACCCTGCAGGACCCTCCTCTTCCTTACTCCTGGAGCCCAGCAATAATGACCAACCTGAGTCCACAGGGAAACCCAGGGCATGCATGGGAGGCCCCCTGCACCTTCCCAAGGGTCCACATTCTAAGCTCAAATTTTCAAGCTTTCCTGAGTATGAGGGAAGCTTTAAGACATTAAAACAGTCATAAACTCCACAAAATAATAACTACATTTTTAACACCTATTGATTAACAGATGATGACAGTGCTTAAGAATCCAGTAATAATCTTACATGTTTTTTTAATTTTTTAAATTACAACATGACCTATATTTAAAGAAGGTCGAAAGCAGAGGGAAAAGCCCATGCTCCACCTGCAGATGATGTCTATTGCCCAGACCGATCCACGGGATCCTCACAGGGGTTTGCTGCCCACAACACTCCAACCAGGACCCAAGTCCACGAGTGGGAACCCATCTCAGAAAGCAGAGAGGCCAAGGAACGCTTCCTTTCCGCAAGGGTCCTGGCATTCTTTTAGCAGCCACTCACCTGTATGAGTAGGGCTTAGTGTCTCCTATATTTGGGAAACAAACTACAGATAAATCTGTATTTGTAAGATGTTCTTATATCCTTTTTAGACTAATATTAAGCCCAAAACAAATAAAATAAATAATGCTGGGAAGTCTGGTCCCTTTGGAAGGCTTTCAGGAGCCATCATTTTGAATATTGACCCCTCCCATTACTACTGGCTTCTTCCCCATGCTAATAATAGTGGTAACTCAGAAGAATTTTTTTTCCTTTCTTCTGGAGCCAGGCTTTGCAGGACCAGGTACAAGCATACAAGGGTGCTGGGACCCCACTTCCTCATTACTGCTTCAAAGATCAAGGAAACTATTGGTGACCAGTAGCAGGAATATCCTAGATTTTTTTTTTTTTTGAAATGAAGTCTTGCTCTTGTCACCCAGACTGGAGTGCAATGGCATGATCTCGGCTCACTGCAACCTCCAACTCCTGGGTTTGAGTGATTCTCCTGCCTCAGCCTCCTCAGTAGCTGAAATTCTAGGTACCCGCAACCATGCCCGGCTACTTTTTTTTTTTTTTTTAGAGACAGGATTTCACCAAGTGGGCCAGGCTGGTCTTGAACTCCTGATCTCAGGTGATCTGCCTGCTTGAGTTTCCCAAAGTGCTGGGATTACAGGCATGAGCCACAATGCCCGGTCCATTTCTTAGTTTTATTTTTTTAAAAAGGGTCTGTCTACTCCTAGAAATACACTCTTAAAAAATATAAAACACATTTATTTGCATAGCAAAATGTACAGAGAAACAATTTTCCACAGACTTCCTGAATTGCATTAGCAGATGAGTGAAAACTCTAAAGAGTCACCCTGACATTCATTACAGATCTAAAGACACGGGAATTCACATACACTTGTACTTATCCAGCACCAGCCTGCATTGCTCCTGAGTGTAGGCTTTACATGCTGGTGTGAAAAGGGGAGTAGGAAAATGGAAAGAAAATATTGCAATTTGTCAAGGGTTACCTCACTCTGAAGACTGTAGGTAGGATAATTCAGTGCTGATGTTTTGGTAGAAAAATGATGGAACTCATTTGTTTTCCCTTGAAGATACAGACAAATGTGTCCAAGAGAAACAGGTAATACTTGGTGTCACAAGACTTGTCTAGTAAACTTTTATACTGTGAATACCTTTTCTTTTCCACAATTTCTCTCCAAAAGTTAGCTGCTTTTAGAACAAAACACGCTGCAAACTATAGTGTGTGTTTTAAAACGCAGTGGCAAAGTGGGAATACGTGTTGTATGTATAAGAGAGAGAAAGAGTTTGAGATGGGGGAAGAGAACAGGGAGAGAGTGTTCTTCTCAAGTCCTTCTAAATGCTCTTGGCTATCTTCACAGCAATTCTGAGCCCTGTCTGGACTGTGGAGTAATTAGGCTAACGCCATCATTTTGCTGTCCTTTTTGTTCCTGAAGCTTGTTCTTTAACACGCATCTAGATAATTTAATTTATGGATTGTATGCTGAGCAGGTTCAGCAAAAGTGGGGCAGGAATCCCATGAATCTTAATGTCTCACTTTACTATAAGTCTCTCTACATTAACAAGAGAGATTTGCCGGTCCTTTCTAAAAAGATCCACCACAATCTCTAGCCTACAGCTCCTGATGATAATAGCTAGATTAGTTTGCATTAAATGCCTCCATAAATGATGTACGGAAGTGCTATTATTTCTAAATATCTGCAAGACAATTTTGAATAGCATTAACTCATATAAAACAAAGAGAAACAGACATTTTAATTTACACGATAATTTCACAGTGAACAAAGTTGAACCAGCTAGAAACAATAAAAAGGCAAAAACCTTCCATAATTGTTCAATGTGGTTTTCATCTTTAAAATTTATTCTTTAAGAGAACTGACATTTCACCAGCCTTGTGTCTTCATTCACCTATTTGAAGCCGCACTGGAAAAGAGAAAGTGATTTTTGTTCCTGATAAAGTGCACAGAGCACCCACTGTGAGCAAATCAGTGTACCAGGCCACACAGCACATGGGTTAGGAGGAGCCGGGGAAGGCAGGGACTGAGGGCTTCCAGTGAAGGAGGAACTAAAGCAATAGAAAAATGGAGCTTAAATTTAGTCACAAGTGAGCTATATAGGATAGCCACTTGCTATCACCAAAAACGCAAGCAGTCTTCATCAGGATGCTTCAGGAATACTTTTAGTTAAATAAAAATGGAATCTTAAAACATTGTTTTAATTCGTGCTAATGAAGGAAAGGTGTAAATAAGTCAACTTTCCTGACCAAATATAATTTTTAAAAACTCACATATCTAATAAATGAAGACCAGTGTCCTAAATACCAAATGTTTTTATTCTAGAATACAGGAGGTATAGAAATTGGGCAAGTCTAGGAAAGATGCTATAAGGAGAGCTTTTTAAAAATTTCTGATTTATCAATTCATTATGTTAAGATCCGTTTCTCTGATTTTAAGTGCTGTATATTTTAAGCTGATAAATAGGATAGAAGAAAGATAAAGAAAGAAGATCAAAAGAGAAATCAAAGAAAAAGAATGACAACAATGAAATGTCTAATGAGGAAAACGCTTGTGGTGGGCTCTGAATTCTCCCAAATCACTACCTAACAGGAGGCAAATGCTAGGCCAAAACCAACAGACAACATCTACAATAAAATCAGGGGGAAGGCATCTGTATGAACCTCCAAAGAGTAGCAGATGGGGCAAATCCCCATAATTTAACAGCCTGTGTTGTCAGAAACCATGCAGTAGAACGCAGAGGAAGGAAACAGATTCATGCTGGCCTAAGCTGCTGCTAGACACGCAGGTGCACTCGGCGGTCCATGCTGAGAGCAGCAAGAGAAACCTGGAGTGGAGAGTGAGACTCCAATTCATGGAACAAATCTCACTTTGTGGAGAAACTGCTGGGAGTAGAATCCAAACCAAGCAGGACAAGGACAACGCATACAAAGAAGACTGGCGATAAAAGGAACGTGGAATAGGGCAGGTGGATCTCAGAATGGATGCCGCCTGTAGTCAGTTTTCATGCTACTGATAAAGACATATCTGAGACTGGGTAATTTACAAAAGAAAGAGGTTGATAGCACTTACAGTTCCACGTGGCTGGGGAGGCCTCACAATCATGGTGGAAGGTGAAAGGCACATCTCACCTGGAGGCAGAGAAGAGAAGAGAGCTTGTGCAGGGAAACTCCCATTTTTAAAACCATCAGACCTTGTAAGACTCATCACTATCATGAGACAGCACAGGAAAGACCCACACCCATGATTCAGTTATCTCCCACTGGGTCCCTCCCACAACATGTGGGAGTTATGGGAGCTACAAGATGAGATTTGGATGGGGACACAGAGCCAAACCGTACCACCACAGTATTTTAAATTTATTTCTTAAGTTGTGGTAAAATACAGATAACTAAGGTTTACCTTAGATGTGCGGTTCAGTGGCATTAAGTGCATTTAGATTGTGGTACCATCATCACCGGCATCTATTCACAGAATTGTTTCTCTTACAAAACAAACTTCTTATCCCTTAAACAGTTACTCCCCATTCCCTGTGTTTCTCAGGGTGCAGCAACCACCATTCTACTTTCTATCCTTATGAATTTGACTCAAGTATGACATATGAGTGGAATCATACAGCATTTGTCCTTTTAGGTCGGGCTTATTTACTTACCATAGTGTCTTCAAGCTTCATTTATATTGTAGCATGTGTGAGAATGTCCTTCCCTGTAAAGGGTACATAATATTCCATTGTGTGTGTGTGTGTGTGTGTGTGTGTATATATATATATATATATCCATGCATTGTATTTATCTACTTATATGTACCAAAACATTCAGCAATTCTACCTCTGACTATACACACAAAGGTGTTAAAAGCAGTCTTGAAGAGATATTTGCACACAAATGTTCATAGCAGCAATATTCACAACAGCCAAAAGTTAGAAGCAAACCAAGTGGCCACCATGTTTTATCACAGCATAAAAACAAAATGAGAGGGAGTTCCCTCACAGCAAAGCTAGACTAGGTATCTCTGGCATGCTTGTCGTTTATCAAAGAAAGAAAACTTCTTTTAAACAACAACTATATAAAAATTAAAAAGAAAATAAAATGCCTGCCATGATAACACACTATAAAGGCATGCCCACAAAACAGATAAAAAATGTAATAAAATATATCTAAATAAAGTAAAAGAAAAATTGAAAAATATAAGCTATTCAAATGACATAACTAAGGTTATTTAGAAAAACTCAAAAATGCAAATCAAAACCACATTGAGATACCATCTCACACCAGTTAGAATGGCAATCATTAAAAATTCTGGAGACAACAGATGCTGGAGAGGATGTGGAGAAATAGGAACACTTTTACACTGTTGGTGGGAGTATAAATTAGTTCAACCATTGTGGAAGACAGTGTGGCGATTCCTCAAGGCCTTAGAAATAGAAATTCCATTTGACCCAGCAATCCCATTACTGGGTATATATCCAAAAGACTATAAATCGTTCTACTATAAGGACACATGCACACGAATGTTCATTACAGCACCGTTTACAATAACAAAGACCTGGAACCAACCCAAATGCCCATCAATGATAGACTGGACTGAGAATATGTGGCACATATACACCATGGAATATTATGCAGCAATCAAAATTGATGAGTTTGTGTCGTTTGTAGGGACATGGATGAATCTGGAGAACATCATTCTCAGCTAACTGACACAAGAACAGAAAATGAAATACTGCATATTCTCACTCATAGGCGGGTGATGAAAAATGAGAACACATGGACACAGGGAAGGGAGTACTAAACACTGGGGTCTATTGGGGGGAATAGGGGAGGGACAGTGGTGGGGGGGAGGTGGGGAGGGATAGCCTGGGGAGAAATACCAAATGTGTGTGAAGGGGAGGAAGGCAGCAAAACACACTGCCATGTGTGTACCTATGCAACTGTCTTGCATGTTCTGCACATGTACCCCAAAACCTAAAATGCAATAAAAAAAATAAATTAAAAATTAAAAAAAATTTTTTTTAAATGATATGATTCCACAAACAGATTTGAGAAGAAAGAGAGACATACTAAAGAAACAATTTAAAATAAAAGGATATTTTTATCAGAAATGATTGCTAAAATAGTAGTAATGCAAGAGTCAATAAATACGATTGATACATGTTAAAATTTAGAGGTAGGAGAAAAAATATATTCCAAATCAATTAAAATATTTTTAAAGTTGAAAAAAAGTTGCTGTAGAAGAGAAGCAAAGAAGATAATTTATACTTGTAGAAAAAGTCAATGAAGAAGAAAATCAAGGCAAAATAACAGAAATACAATAAAGTATTTCTAAAGGTTTTATTTTGATGACATAATTTCATAGTAAAAGGGCTTCCATATGCCTTGGGAAAGCTAACCATAAGGGATATAACTAAGATATTCACCTAAAAGTACTGAAGTTTAATTAATTAAAAAGAAATCCTCAACGAATCAAAACACACAGCCAAGTCATTCATAAGGTGGCAAAATAAAATTGTAATCAGAATTTTCAACATAAACAGGTAATGACAGAAGACAATGCTGAAAGATGTTTCAAATACCCAAAAAGAAAAAATATGAGCTAAAAATTTTATACCCAGCCAAATGGACTTTATGGGTGTAGACAAACTACTGTAAGAATACATCAACTCAGAAAATGTTGCTGCCCTGAGCCTCTGTAATGTAAGCTGCTAGACAAGGAGCTTTAAACAACAAAGGAAAGGGTAGGTGACAGTATAAGGTCTGGAAGTGAGTGATAAACTTGCAATTATTGTAATACAAAGATTAAAGGGTAATCATACATTATGTGATACGGTATGTAAGGTTGCTATTCTCTGACAAGATAGATGCAGTGTGACTATCAAAATTGGAGGGGAATGGCAACATATAAAATTAATTAAGTTCATGAAGTGTGTTATGGAAATTAACTGGGCAGCAGAAAACAATATTAAATTATTAATAAGTAATTCATAATTAATTAATTAAGAGAGAGAAGAGATGTTAGGGGTACCATGTCAGAAAAAAGAGGAGAAACGGAAATAATTTGGTAGAAAATTTTATTATTGTTCACAATAGGACATCAATTGAAAACAGACAAATAAGAGGGGACCTAGAGTATCACATAAATGTTATTTTAAAGATAAACATGTAAACAAAAACACAAGCCTTGCTGGACAGTAAATGCATACAAAATAGGAGAAAAAAGCCAATAGACCAAATAGTGACCAATTATATAAATAAAAATATATTTAGTACATATTAAATGCAAAACCATATGACAGAGCTAAAGCAAACATAGTGAGTAAATCAATAAATGTCAATTAGTTTAATTCATTTCCTGCAAGATGTAAAGAATAAATTATGGTATCAAATCACAAAAGATTAATTTCAGTGGCACTTTGGGGCCCTTGATAATCTCTATGACTGCTTTGAGCTAAAATAAAAATGGTAAATTTTCTGAACATCCAACAGTAGATGATGAATTAAAAATCAAAACTTTATGCGTCATAATGGTGTCAGAGATAAGTTATTGACATAGAAAGATGTTTATAAAATACAGTTTTAAAATTCAATTTTAAAAGTATATAAAAATTATTCTGCTCCCCAACATTTGGCCCTGCCATTTTGATCCCCAGGGAATGGTTTATCTCTTCCCTTTGCCTCTGCAGATACTTTCAGGTAACTTTTGTGATTGGACTCTGGGACCTTTCAACTATGAACATTTCCTGGCTACCAGTAAACTTTATATCATGCCATTCTGAGCTTTGCCGTCGCCTTGCTGATGCTGCAGATGCATAAATGCTTTCTTCGCTAAAAATTCAACAGTTCTGTAGGTCACTGACTCTCTGGGGCAATGCTTAGTGTGTAAGGAGAGTATCGATCTGTGCATGTGTGTGTGCATGTGGATGTGTGTGTGTGGCTTCTGTATGTCACTATTTTTTTCTCTCAAGTTAAAACTTACTCTAATACTACGATGATGTCATCCCTAGAAATATATGAGATTTTGCTTCTTTAGGACTTCACTGAGGAAATAAGAAAATCATTTGTATTGTAGTTAGAATTTATAAGAATATGACAGAAAACAAATTTAAGGAATTTCTGCAGTTTCCTCTTTACTGGTTAGCAATGCAGTCAACACTGAGAGAGTAAAAGTCAAGGATATCCTCCCTTATTTATGCCATTGCCCAAAACTTTGAAACACAGTATAGAATTATTATATTCAACGGATGAGCTTTCTATGTCATTCTGAATCACTTAGTAATATGGATGTTTAATTATATAATTAGATTTTGAAATCAAGTGCCACTGAGGATTAACTTAATTTGCAATGTAAAATTGTAAAGCAAATAAATCAATTCTTTAAGGGTAAACTTACATTCCAGAATTATAAAAGACACTTTTCATATAATGTGCAAAAATATATTGAGCATTTTAAAGAGAACTAAAAACAAATTAATAGAAAAATTGTTTTATAGGGATAGTCATATATCAAATTTATAGATTACTTAGCTTGCTTAATAGAGAATACTAATTATGTGAAATTATATTAGAGTTTACAGTAGGCCATTTAAAATGTGCAAGCTAATACTATAAAATATCACTATCAGCAAAAAAAAAAGTAAAACTCAAATGGGTAAAATAATATTCATAATCATAATAATAAATATAGCATATTTGGTACAATTCCTATACTGAGAACTTAGATGATGATTAAAACAGTTTCTCACCTTGTAATGTTAATATAAATCCAAATATTAGCTAACATCAAAGATGTAATCAAACCTTGTGAGTAGTTTGAGATGCCTAACAACACCGCCCTCCCACAAACTGCAGCTATAAATCCTGCACAAAACACAGAATTTCCTGAATGCCCTAAAAACTGAACAAAAGCAGCCGTATTTGGGAGACAGTCAAAACTTGGAGCAAATGATTAGCAGGGAGTGAATTCCCTGTATTTTGTGGTTGTGACCTGCGGGCAGTTACTTGCATGGCAGGTGGCTGGGTGAGGGGAGTTAGTTAGAACTCTAATAAAACGTCCACTGTCTTTCTGTCTGTAATAATCAGGTCAAGGAAATCTGGACAACAAAAGGAAGAAGTAGAGCCCCAAATTATGTGCTTAA